TGTCCATGTTTTTCTCAGCCGCTGCCTCGGCCATGGCTGTTTCTTTTCTGTGCGTCCTGCTGATGTTTACACGCCGGTGTCCATGGACATATATAAAGACCCGACGAATTGATTACAGAATTTGTTGGCAACGGATTTTTTCGTCACGACGAATCTACTTAATCGATTCGTTGTTGCAGCCTTAATAGTTTATTTAATGTTACAAGAGCATTATAATCTTTGAATTTAGAATTACAAAAAAATAATAATAATAATAAAATAAAATAAAATGCAATTAAGTATTTATTATTTATTTTCCAAATCCATTGGGAGCCGCAGCTTAGGGAAGAAAGAGCCGCATGCGGCTCCAGAGCCGCGGGTTGCCGACCCCTGAGCTAGAGCGTACAGTTTAACCCAACAGGGGGTAGTGCCAGCCTTCGGGCCAATCCCAATTGTAACACTTAGCCTTCGTGTTACCCCTTAGCCATTGGTTTTGCGCGTTCACGTCAAGCGAAGAGGTATCCCAGTTTTATAGTCATGATACTCATGTTTTTGTCAGATATTCAATCCTTTGCTACTTCACATAAATATTTGCCATGTTTGGAGCTGTTTACGTTTCTAAAATTGCTCGTTGTGACTAGCTAGCTAACAAAGCTAAAGCTAATGATAGCTAAATTGACGTCAGAGTTGGGTGACTAGTTCTCAGCAAACAGGCATAACTGCCATGTACTGTTTGCCAATATTGTCGCATCAGCATACGAGCGGCAAGGCATGATGACGTAGCGGGATTTGAGGGGCGTCTCGTTTCTTAAGGCCGTGTTTACATCCCTTCAGGGCCAAGGGAAAGCAGTAGACAAAGCAATAAGACAAAGGGGAAGGGGAAAGAGTGACAATCGGGACTGGCCCTTAGCAGTGTTTGGTAGTAACGCATTGTTAGTAACGCTTCTACTTCATTCAGTAACGAATAATAACACGCATTGTTTTTGTTTTTATTCAGTAACTCTGTTTCCGTTACCAAACGCTGCGTTACTTTCTTTTTGGTGAGGTTTTACAACGGCAAACAGTTCCCATCACATTTTAGCGATCAAAAAAGTTTAATTGAATTGGAAAAACAAAGCACTTGTCACCCTTTAGCGTCACTCATGTAATCAAACATGCGCCGTGAAGAGGACTTTTACAAAGTAACTAGTAATTGTAACTATTCCTCAGTAACTAGCACAACACAGGCCCTTAGTTTGGCCCTCCTTGTCCTCTTTCGTACTACTCTTTTTCCCTGTCTAGTTTCCCCTCTTTACCTCCGCCAAGGAGGTTATGTTTTTGGTAGCGTTGGTTTGTTTGTTTGTCTGTTAGCAACTTTACGGAGAAAGTAACAGACGGATCGACATGAAATTTTCACCAGAGGTGCGTCTCAGCCCCAGGAAGACCCCATTAAATTTTGGTGGTGATCCGGACAAAATTCTGGATACTGTGATCCAGAACACAAGAAAATAAGGGTGTCGTTGGAATTTTCAATGCTGAAAGATAACCAATGGGCGGCACAGTGGTGTGGATGGGCGGCACAGTGGAGTAGTGGTTAGCACTGTCGCCTCACAACCAGAAGGTCCTGGGTTCGAATCTCGGTCAGGGCATATCTTGTCTGAGGGGGACATGAGCTGCTTGGCGGAGGTCTGCGCTCTCCAAGTGCTTTTCTAGTTTCTCATGAAAACAGGGGAGTAGGAAGAGAGAGGCTTTTAACTGGCTCAAGGATGCTCTACCAAACTGTTGAGCCCTACCCCACGTCTTTACAACCTTGCGATTGCCAAGTTGTGTTTATGCAAAAGCCACTTCTGCTAAATCCAGTCTAGTTTAAATGCTGCACAGAGACTAAACAACGGTGTCACTTTCACTCAGTTGCAGCTGCTAACTCTTGCGAAGTCAAGTCGTGAAGCTTGGGGGAACTATTTCCAAAAGCCGGGGCCAAAATCAAAGGCAAAGTTTGTCTTTGTTGTCCTGAGGACTTATACATTCAGTCCATCCAGAAAAGACGAAGGAAAACTCAAATCACATCCTACAAGCCGGGCAACATCCACACAACAACTTTAAAGTGGTGAATCAATATTTTACAGTCTCCTGTGCTTCGCCTTGGGCTGCAGAGGGCCTTCACCAAACAATAGGATCCTGACCTGCATTATTCATCCCTCACTCATTCACTCCTCTCAGAGGCAGAAACTCAGGGCATACTCGGGGGAATTCAACTTCCCCAAACTAAACTTCAGATAAGAAAACCTTTCAAAACATCTGCCCTTCCATTTTCAAATCTCTGCGGCATTTCGAGCCGCCTTGGTACCCTCTTTAATAATGTTAACCATGATGAATAATGCATGGCTGATTTTTATCTCACAGTCGCGGCCTTGTCTGAAGCCACTTGGTTTGATTGAATATCAATAAGTAAAGCAAACAAACCTTCTTTAGGTTTTTTTTTGCAATCGATAGTAATTTCAGTGATTAAAATTCAGTGTCCTGTGTCGTGAATGTTCATTTTAATCAAAAAAAGTGTCAAAATCTGCGGTAATCCTCACATCACTGACACAGATCTATATTTGGAAGTACTCCAGTCATCATTAAACCGAACTTTGGGGATTCAATGAGCGTAACTCAGTTATTAGGAAACGGCTCAAACCTGGCAGTAGATTTTTAATGAACTCGACATTTAATGCTTCATGGCTTTTATAAGGTTTCCCCTAATGTCTTTTCATAACGTGTAATTAGGCACGGACTTTAAATAATGTGTTCGTGCGAAGGTTCTGAACAGAGAAGATGAGGATAACTCGGCCTCAATCAGTTTATTGTCTCCGCTCTGGACTATAACCGGAGCCGGCTACATGAAGGCCTCCGAATTAGAAAAGGGGGATGATTGCACATTGATTATAATGGAATGAGGACAGGGGGTGTCATTCACAACCTCTAAAGTGACTTTTAATGAGAGCGGAGAAGACTGCAAAGATAGATCAGGATGTATTTTTCAATGAGGGTCTTAAGCTAAAAATTCAGGAACAGTTAAAGTCACGCCAAGAAAGTTCTGACCCCTCCTCATGACCTCTTATCACTAGGGAAAAAGCCGCACATAAATCAGGTGCAGGGTATAAAAGGTCAAAAAATCATCTTGCAAAATTATAATGTGACATTTTACAGTTAGGACAGTTAAATGTGGCTTTAAGAGTGGGAGAGAATGGAGGGATTTTTGGCGTGAAGAGCAGCCATTGAAGAGTGAGGACATTAAAACAGAGTGACAGGCCTTTTGCAACCTCGCTAATGTCTTGTGTGTGTACTGAAGTGTTGTTGCCAAAACCAAAGTCTTAGTCCGGCCTTTAATCCTTATCATTCGAGGCCTAAGTGTTAAAATCTCAGTTTCTCAGAATTTGTGCTAAAGTCCACCGCATTCCACTTCAAGTGTTGAGTTTTCAGTGTTTGAGTCTACTTTGAGTCTCAAATCTTCAATAACTGAGCCTGAATGGGGTCTAAGTAGGGTCAAAGTCAGGTTTCCATTACCTGTGTAGGAGCCAAATCAAATATTGACTATTATCAGAGTAAATATTTATTGCAAACAAGAAGGCTCCTTTGCTCAACACTATGAAGCTTGTAAATCTAGAGTAACTCTAAAGACTGGAACTAACTGTATAAACCTGGACTATTAATTGAACCTGGACTGACTGTATAAACCTGGTGGACTGTATGAACCTAAATCAACGGTATGTACTTACAACAACTGTTTAAACCAAAACAGACTATATAAACCTGAATGGACTGTATAACCTAAACGGACTGTATGTACCTGGAACAACTGTGTAAACCTAACCTAACTGTATAGACCTGTACTGACTGTATAAACCTTAACATACTGTAAGAACCTGGACTGACTGTATAAACTTGGAATGACTGTATGAACCTGAATTGACTGTGTAAACCTTGTCTGACTGTGTGAACATGGAGTGACTGTATAAATCTAAATGGACTGTATAAACCTGCACAGACTGTGTGAACCTGGACAGACTGTATAATCCAGAATCAACTGTACCTGGACTGACTATATAAGCCTGGACTGACTGTGTGAATATAGAGTCACTGTAAAAACCTGAACAGACTGTGTAAACCTGGACTAAATGTATGTACCTGGACCAACTGTGTGAACCTGGACCAACTCTATAAACCCGGACTGACTGTATGAACCTAGACTGACTGTATAAACTTGAACAAACTGTATAGACCTGGACTGACTGTATTAACTTACACAGACTGTGTGAACCTGAATTGACTGTATAAACCTAGACTAACTGTATAAACCTGAACAGACTGTGTGAACCTAGACTAACTGTATAAACCTGAACAGACTGTGTGAACCTAGACTGACTGTATAAACCTGAACAGACTGTGTGAACCTAGACTGACTGTATAAACCTGAACAGACTGTGTGAACCTAGACTGACTGTATAAACCTGGACTGACTGTATTAAACCTGGACTGACTGTATAAACCTGAACAGACTGTGTGAACCTAGACTGACTGTATTAAACCTGGACTGACTGTATAAACCTGGACTTAATGTATAAACTTGGACTGACTGTATAAACTTGGACTGACTGTATATTTCCGGACCGAGTGTGTAAACCTGAACTGACTTTATAAACTTGAGCTGACTGTACAAACTTGAATATATTTTAAGTTTGAGACCAACTATTTACAATGACACTGGGATTGAAAAGACACGCTAGGAGTTTTGTATTGCCAAAGTTAGCCTGAGTGACTGCTCACTGTGAATCTGAGACTTGCTAAATACCAATTAACAGATGCTCTTCCAATGTTTAGATGGATGAAACTCCAGCTTTGTCCACAAAGACATGTATATTTTCTGACATTAGATCAGTAATAGTTTCTGTGATTGATAGCTGATTTTATCTAATTTAGTTTCCAGAGGCGATGAACCAGAGCAATCAAACTCAGTCAGTGGGAAACACAAGCAATAACACCGACACTGTAACACTAACATGTCACAGGTTCCTGCTTCCTCAGAGGATGTCCCACCAACAACAGGTGAAACAGAGGTAAAGCCACCTCAGCTGAGCTCTGTTTGGACCAAAGTACCCCGGGGACACAACACGAATGGAAGCCAAACAGCCAGCTCTGATGATGTGCCAGAGACTAACTCCAGACAGGATCTGCTCACTATCACAGCTCTGCACACAGCACAGCAGAGGATTCCCCAGAAACCAGCTGGCATCCACGCTCAGAGGCTCATCCGTTGAAATCTCACTTGGATGCTCGGTTCAGAGAGATTTTCAAAAAGGTCCTCCGTGGAAATTTTGCACTGGGCTTAAAAAAAAAAAAAAACCTTTGTGATGACATTTTTACAGCAAACTCTGTAGCATACACCTCCGTTCATTTATGCGGTGCCACTATAAATAGCAACACTGCGAGGAGTGTCAGTTTAGCTTACATCAGAGTGGCATAAGAAATATTATGTTTTGTCTCTTTGCCTTTGAGAGCTGTGCAGAAATTGTTGCAGCACAAAAAATTTAACTTTAATACAGATCTATTTTGATAGGCTGCTTTTTATAGAGAAGTCTCTTAAAAAACATGCAAAAAACAAAAAAAAACAAAAAAAACAAGTAAAATAAAACTAGAACTTAAGATTTATAAATGATCCCTTCATCACTCTAACCACTCTGACTTTTCTGACTAATTCAACAGCCCCAAAGTGAACTCTTCATCAGGAATTTATTATACAGATGTTTTATTCAGATACTATAATTTATTCAAAGAAATTTGTGAATGACTAACAACGATATCCCACTTCCCCCTCTCTGTATCTACATCTCCAGGCTAAAAGGTTTTATGTTCTTTCTGTCTGTATAAAAGTAGTGCAGAACTGCCACATCAGTTTGTCTAAAGGTCTCTCTACTGTAAGACACAGCTGCTGACTTATAATTTAGGACTTAAACACAGTTAAATGCTTGGAAGAAGTACTGACACTTTCTGATTGCGATGTTTGGAATTCATTTTATCCTTCCCAGGACTTGAAGATGGGTAACAGCTGGCACTGGCTGCCCAAATAGCATAAATAAATACCAACGGAATGTATGAGGGAACCCAGATTTAAATGAGATTTATACATTGGCTGACATTGAAACCAATGCTAGTACCCAAATCAGATACCAGATACTAATACCGGATTAAAGATTCCCAATACCAGATACTAGGGTCGGCCCATGTGGATTTTTTATTAAGTTCTAAAAAATATATACATATATATACACTGTAGATATACTTTAGGCTACTGCTCTTCACGCCTACAGGAAGACCGACTGATCAACCTCGGACCAGAAAAGCATTTTAACCCCCCCCCCCCCCCCCCCCCCCGCCGATCTGTGCCTCCGCATCTTAACTCACGTTACTCAGTTCTGGTCTCATCTGGAGACATGCAGCTGCCTCAGTAAGAGAAGTAGCTCGATCACGTAATGTGTACTGTTCATTCTACCGTTACTGGCATGGCTAACAGTGTAGCAAGGCTAATAGCAGGTGGCTAACTCTAACTTTAGCTTGCATATTACGTGGTGCTTCACCGTTAACTCGGCGTGACCGAGACCAGCACAGCGGGGAACGTCGTGAAGTGGGTTAAACTGAAACTTGTTGACTTATTGTGTAATTCACAAACTGGTTTGTTTACCGTTGAGGTGGACCACTCTCCTCCGTGCGTCCCTGAGCTGCCTGCTTCAGATCTGTCACTCTGCTGTGCTGTGAGGTAGTTAGTGGATGAAGATTGTTGTGAGGTCGCTGCGCCATCTACAGGATAAGTCGGGGAACTTTTGAAATGGGGGAACATTTTTTAAGTGAAACCGAATCTTATTCTCTGCATTTTATTTCTGAAAATATCGCCGAAAATCATTGAGTTTTTTTTGAGTCGGGCCCTACCAGATACACATTCGACATGTTCCCCATACCCAATAAAAGATTTTAGATACCCAATGCATGATGAAAGATACCAAATACCCGATCCCTATGGCAGATGCCCAGTACCCAGTACAAGACAATGGATACCAGATAAAAGATACCAAATACCTTATACCAAATAAAACCACATACCCAGTACCCAGACTCAATGCAAAATACCAGTTTTTAGTTACCCAATACCTAATGAGATATGAGGTACCCACTACCCCAATGCTGGTGTTGAATACTTGAAGTCAGATGCCAAATACCCTATAAAATGTGCAGTAACCAGATACCCAATCACAGGTATAAGATACCCCAAAACTAATAAAAATAGAGGTAACAAGACACCCAATACCTAACATAAGATATTACATACCAGATACCTAATTTGGGAAATCCAATACCAGACGCCAGATGCCAAAAACCTGATGAACGTTTCAAGATACTCAATTGTGGTTGGGTCATTGCAGTCCACTACTTGGTATTATTATGGGCCTTCTCCTCCTGAGTGTAACTGTACTTGTTTAGAAAACCAAGAGGACTCTCAAAGTCAAACACCAAAAGCTTTAATTTTGAGGAATAGTGGATGATAATGTATTCTTAAAGAAAGGACAACAATAGACATCATGTTTGAGCATCTGTTATTCTCCCATTTTTATCTTATACATATGGGCCACATGTTCTGCTCGATGCTGCCCCCATCATTCCTGGTGGTACTGCAACATTTGGTTGGTTTTCTTCCAGATAACGTGTAAAAACACAGAATTATTGATCACGCCCTGTTCTCTTTTGTTTGTCAGTCCTCTTTTATCTCTGGATGATTAGTTTCCTTGAACTCCACAGTCGAGTACTTACCAGCTCAGTCGGCAGTGAGTCCTGACCTTGTTCGAATTCCAGTCGACTGGAAATAACTAATTAGCCGCTGAAATGCATTTGTTCCCGTTCTCTCGCACAACTGGCCTGATGTGGGATGCTGCACATGTGCGTGAGGGTGTTGATGTGTGTGGGTGAACATGTGTACAGCATGCCTGCATGTTTCGGCTCTGGAGGGCAGATCCGTGTTAGTCATGGATGGTTGGAGAGTGTCCCTCTGTCACTCTGCTGCAGTGAGTGAACACACTAGTAAGAATACACATAGTGGTTATTTTCCTGTTTCTTGGTAGTGGTTGAAAGTTGGACTGCAGACCAAGGACACAGTGATGAGTATATATATATATATATGTGCAGATAAAGGAATTGAAATGGACTTAAAGGGATTCTTCAGGGTTAGCGATGTGCTATTTTTAAAGTACGAGGAACGAATAGGATTGGAGCTGAGAGCCACAGAGAGAACGGTGCTGAGAGTCTGTTCTTGGACTTTTAAAGCTTCAGGAAATTTGGCTCAAGTTGTGAAGATGCATGTGTGTTATCAAAGTTAACAACAAAACGGAAAATTACTGTCTGGTCTTCATGTCACTTTCACTCTAAGGGCTTCAGGTTTGCGGTACATCCTTGATTTCCACTATCATATGAGATGAACTTTCTTGCATAAAAGTAAATCTTGCACATTTCCCAGTCTTGAATCTAAAGGGTAGACTGATGCCCTTCTAGCTGCTCCAAACATTTGAGTTAAATTTGCAGGATAGTGCAGTTTCTGGGTACCCTGAAGGTGAAATCCATGATTAATAGCACACTTTAAAACTCAAAACATACCTTTCTCTCTGAAATATCCTATCAGTGCATAAATCAGAACCTCCAGTTGTGGATCTATGATGTATTTTTCAAAATTTCCTGATGCAGTGAGGTAATGTAGTTGACAATAATGTACAGATGGATTGATTCAGGTCAGAAACCTCTTCCACATTTTCAAACATTAGTCTTTGTGTCAGCCTTTGGACTCCACAAAGCAACACATGATGACAATGAACCAACTGGGCCTGCTAATGAGGACCTTGTGGGTATGAATTCCTCTGTGGATGTGAGTGTGAGCATGTGTTTCAGCAGAAGAAGAAGAATTCTGAATGCGTTTTATTACTTGTCCCTCCAAAATGCGATAAGACAAACTCAAACCCGCATTTTGTTGACTGACGTACATGCATTTTTAACTCCCTCCAGGAGCGTGTCTAAACTCATATTCTGGAAGTCGTAAATGCCTCTGTGTGGAGGAGTTCATGTGCACCTATTTGTGCATGTGTGTTTTTTTCTGGCAAATTGTCATTTTACCCGGCCAACTGGATAACGTTTCTGCGGGCCAAGTCATTAGCCACTGAAATAAAGCAGCTTTGTTTTGTTGTCATGGTCCACCAAATTCTATTTAAAACCCCGGCTCCTTTCCAGAAATCGTCACAAAGGGAACAAAAGAAAACAGAAGAAGAAGAGGACTGGAAGTACGTTATCAGAAATAGACTGCCTCCTCGGCGCATTTAGTGATCAAAATTAATCAGAGAGCCTTCTTCAGTCGAACATGACATCCTGTTTCAAACGTCGCCGGCATGAGACACAACAGGAGCTTTGATGGGGATATTTGGGGATGGACCGGGAAGAAGAACCTTTCAAAGCAGTAACCACATGTTAACAAGACCCAAAAACAGCTGCAAAAACTTATGGGAGGAAGTGGAAAACTGTCCAGTGATCAGACAAATCAAAGTTTGACATTCATGGACGCTGCATCCTCCTTTTGCTATTAGCGCGCAGTTCAAAAGCTAGCTTACATGACAGAGTGAGGGCGCAAAAGTGTCACACTTTATTTACCATAAGCAACGATTTTACTTAAACTTAAGGTCCTTACACACCCGGACCGACGCAAATATACAACGCGAAATTGTGTAATATTCGGAGGCGAACTTTCACGCGCCTGACTATACACATCAAGCGCGATGCTATTTTGCGACTCTCCGGGGGGGGAAAAAGGCACATCCTGGGTGGAACCGAGAAGACTGACACAACACCAGACTGACTGTTTTTCAGTTCTGATTAGACTCTAGTGTTGAGATGTCTGTCTGTCATGATAGCATGTACTGAGTCGGGGCCAGTACCAGATAAACACATTAAACTATAATCCATAAACGTAAGGTAACAACCAAGACCTAATGGTGCTGTGACAGCAACACGATTGAGTTTGAGACAGTGAAAATACATATGGTATGTTGTATCTGAACAGGTTAGCTTACAAGCTAAAGTTACTTAGCACAGATGAAAGTTAAAACAAAGATGTTTAGCAAACTGTTAAAGCACACAAACCATCGTCATATGAGAAATCCGACACTATGACTCTCCACAAGTTGTCCTTCAGGTCGTCATCTTTGTAATGTTTGTGTTTTTTATCAAAAATCAC